GAGAGAGAGAGAGAGAGAGAGAGAGCGAGAGTGAGTGTGTGTGTGAGAGAGTGTGAGTGTGCGTGAGAGAGTGTGAGTGTGTGTGTGAGAGAGTGCGAGTGTGCGTGTGAGAGAGAGTGCGAGTGTGCGTGTGAGAGAGAGTGCGAGTGGGTGTGTGAGTGGGTGTGTGAGTGTGTGAGTGTGTGTGTGTATAAGCATGTAGAAAGGCACTGCCACCTAATGCCTATTTCCTGGCAACAGCCTACTGTGAAATCAACACCTGCCACGGTGTTTCTTATTTGCGGTCTGATAAATTAATACATTAGATAGCATACCTAGTTAAAGAGTCACTGCTCACCTGCTTTGTACTAAAATTAGGACATAATCAGATGTCAGCGTCAATCTGATTAAGCAGAGACAGAGGCACCTAGACCAGTTCAGTCCTGCAGAGTTTAGCTCCAACTCTGACAAACCCTCACCTGCCTGTAGCCTTAGTAATTCTGAAGACATTGATTAGCTTATTTAGGTGTTTGATTAGGGTTCAAGATAAACTCTGCAGGACAGCGGCTCTCTAGGACAGAACTTGCCTACCCCTGACCTCGGTCTTTGAATTTAAATGTAAGTACATAGTAGTTAAGGCCTATAATAAATAATATAAAGTGGGACCAGCACATTTAGTGGCCACTTGTGTACACTAGCCAGACAACACCAGCTGATCACACGGTGGTTTTACAGTAGATGACTGTTTGAACCGCTTGACCACCGAACACTGCATGTACGCTTTCAAGTCATCATCTTCTGGATAATGATTTCATGTAATCTGTGTGCTTAACTCCATTCATGAGAATGGTTTTATTTTATCATTATAAATTGAAAGCATTCCGTTTACTTCTAGGGATGCACCAATCTGATTCTCACATCGAGTATCGCTCCGATCCTGCCATTCTCTGCCGGATCAGGAGTCGGTCAGACAGGGCCGATATAAAGCCGATATTATTGTTACTGTTAATCCGCATAAAAGCATTATAAAGCACCGATTTTGTTAATATTTATTTTTTAAAGCAAGAGATGAGATAGAATGCAAATATGACTACATTAACAAGATGTTTTTTGCTCTATTACAGGCCGACCTCTCTGTAGCCATTTAAAATTAGAGGCAAACACCAAGAAAGATTCTACATACATGAGCGGTTTCTGATTTAAATTATATTAAAGTACATGTAATTTCAGAATCTGAAGCAAAACCAGAATAGTCTGACTTTATCTTTGTGAAATTCTGCAACACAAAAAAACATCTGCACGAAACAGAAACAGCAGACTTTCCCGCATAGACTTTACCGGAAAATTACAGTTAAGAGATCATGTGTGAACAATTTACCGGAATGAGCACGGATGAGTTCAGAACGCTGAAGTCTGGGCCGATCAGAGCATTCTGACGCAGACGACGCATTACAGTTCGGAACAAGTCTGGAGCAGAGATTGGCTGAAATAAAACAAAAGAGCCGGTGGCCGATCGTGCGCTTGGAGCAAAAACAGGCCGGTTATGATTTATGGTCGTTCCAGCGTTTTCTAACATTAATAGTTTCGGGCCAGTGGTGAACCGTTCGTTCTTGGCTAAAGGAAAACACAATTACATTTTTTTATAATAATTTTCCAGGTCAACTACAAGATTTTCCAGGACATTTTAAATTTTCTCTCATTTTCTAGGACGCGTGGGAACCCTGACTTGCACAGTGGGGCTTTTCATTTCATTAGCAAAGCGTTTTTAGCTAAGGATGCTGATTTTCAGAATGCTGCTAAGATGGCAAATGGGAACAGCACACCTCATCTCAATCTGCTTGCGTTTCTGCAGCTCCTGATTCCTGAGCTCCTCCAAGCGCCGCAGCTCCTCTTGACGTCTCATGAGATCTGTGGGTATAAATACACTAATGCTTCAGTGACAAAGTGAAGAACATCAGTACTGTTCCCTGAAGCAGGGAAATGATTGCAGCCCTGTGGTATATGACACTCATGTGTACTTAGGCCTGGGCGATAACACGGTATCGATATTCATTTTGTTCATATTGTTTATGCCATTTACGAAATCATATTTGATTTATAAATATTAGTTTAGACGGTATGCACTTTTTGATAGCCTGCCGTTATTTCATTGCATTGAATAAACAATTTAATGAGGTGCATTATTTTGCTCATTGCGCCCTCCTGTGGCCTCAGGCCAAATGTTTCATTAACACTTATTTAATTTGCATATAAAATACAAGAAAGGAGATATTTGTTTCAATTTTATTTAGTTTTATTTGTTATTTTGTCTGTTAAGACTGAAATAGCTTGTTGTTGTTTGTTTTAATAAATTGGGTAAATTAAAAATACAGTGGTTAAATTTTAACCTTTTTTCTACTGCTCCATTTAAGAAAGGTTATAAAACATTTTCAATAATTATCGATACCGAACGACATGAAACATTATATTGTGATAAATTGTGTAACTATATCGCCCAGCCCTGTGTGTACTCCTGTCTGTTCATCACAGTATCAGCATAACAGAAACAATCCAGAGCGGTTTTCTTTCAGAAAACTACCTTGTCTCATCATCATGAGTTGATGCTCATGTTTGGCAGCCTCCATTTCAGCCTCCAGTTTCTCCTTTGCCTCTTGAATGTTGCGTTCCACTTGTTCCCTCTGCTGTTTCTCCATCTCATCCAAAGCCTTCCAGCGCGAGGAGTACTCAAACTCAAAGGTTCCTGGCTGAGCAAAGCGTGGCTCCTGCTCCCTTTCCCTGGATTGCAGATGGTTGTGATTCATTTTTGGTTAATTAAAACTCCACTGAGGCATTATTTTTTCTCCTTAGTTATACTGTAAACATTTGGAATACAATTAATCTAAATGTCTTATGACATACTTATGATACTGAGCTGATTTTTGCAACAGCTTTTCTGGTAGCCCATCTTCATCATCAAACTGTTCTGTTGGCTCAATGATGACTGGACGAGGAGACCTGAGGGACAAAAAAAAGATCCATGTGAAAAAAAATTGACAAGGCATAAAGACCAGCCACGTCAACTTCAAATATTCTCTTATTTGACTTGACATACTTGATATGAAAGGGATAATGTGCATCCAGCCGGTTGTTATCGCAGAATAACCCCGACAGGGTGATCAGGAGTCTTGTTTCACTCTGTAGGAGGTTATTCTGCGATAACAACCGGCTGGATGCACATTATCCCACTTATTACACGGCTACTTGCCTCATAAGTACATCATTAGACACGAAATATTGATTTGAGTTGAAATATTTGAACGCAAAGCTTCCGTGAAGACAGCAGTTTGCGAGCAGCAGCAAGTTCAAACTAGACGGACATTTAAGGGAAACGCTGCAGTCAAACACTTACTACACATTTCAGCACATAAATAATTATGATGATAAAAGATACTGATTTAAGATTAAAATGTTTTAAAATCTTACCAGTTTGTTAGTTATCTTATAATCCATTACAGTACACAAAACAATCGTAGCAAAACGTCAGAGAGAGCCATACCAGCATGACATAATTAAATAACTGTACACATAATATAGAATGCAGTTTTAATATTTTATTAGCTAAACAAACGCAAAGCTTCCACTGTTCCTAGCAAGAGTACAGCGCAGACTTCAGTTACCCGGATGAGCCGGTGTTATCAGCTTTTAGCGGTTCTTATCGAGGGATAACAGACCTCAGAATGTCATGACTCAGATCAGAATCAAGTATTCCACAGAGCCGTGTAATAAATAAAGATATATAAAGGTCAATCGCTAATCTACACTGATCATGCTGTGAAAATGAAAAGTTATTACATTGTAAGCAGAAGGGCTCCATCTGCACAGCGGTCCAAGGCTTTCCGCGCAGCAGGCTTATTGGCAAACTCCACAATCCCTTTGCCTGTGGCTCGTCCTCGGGCATCAACCACCACAACTGCCCGCTCAACCGGGCCGAACTGTGAGAAGGCCTGCTCCAGCAGCTCATTGGACACCACTGGAGACAGGTTTCGGACTGTGAGCGCGGCCCCATGTGTGGCAAAACGAATACGGATGGGCCTGTTCCCCAGTATCGTGCCGTCTAACTCAGCCTTGGCAATCTCTGCAAGCGTCCTCGTTTCCTGAATAATGAAAATGGTGACAATTTAAAATATGGATGCTTAAATAAAGTCAACCCATTGACCAAGACAGGTGAGCAAAGTCATGCAAACATCTTTTATGGTCATCATGGCAAGAGTTCAATAAAAATAAAATGCATTTCAGTCAAAAATTGTTCAAATTTGCACAAATATGGATCCCACCCAAAGCGCACACATAAATCTGCCTCTCAAACAGCACGCAAATACCGAATTCTGTCTTACTGCTAGGGGTGTGCGATAGACAAAAAATAATATCTCCATATTTTCTAGGATTTTATCGATGACGATAACTAGACGATATTTTGCTGAGTGTGTTATTGTGCTGGTATCTTAAGGACTGCCGAAGACAGCTGACTCCTGATGTTTTTAATATTCTTCATATTCTGTGTGCTGGTCAGTTCATACTGATAGAAATTTATCTTTTCCAATAAGTTTAAACTGATTTTTAAATTTTTACCTTTATAAAGGCATTTTTTCTAAAAGTGTCCATTATCTTTTGAGTCAGCGTTTAAACACATCTATGAAAGATTGTATTACTGTACTGTGTAATACAATAAATATAAAAGAATCACAATGCAGAATAAGCATTTTAAGTAACAATGTTTGGATTTGAAATCAAAATAGTGGATAAATGTTGTTTGTAGTAAACAGCCCTGGATCAGGAGCAGACTCCTGTGTGAAAGCTGCTTCTGTAACACACACGGACTGCACACGGAGTATGTGTGAACCTCGCTCAACACTGCCTCACATGCAGCTCACAAAATCAGGCTTGCGCTGTGTGTCAGCTATTGTGCCAGTTGCACGATTGTCAAAACAAAAATGCAGTGCATGATCAAATGTTTAGGTGAGATAAATATATATTTTTGAAAAATGTCTAAAAAAAACGATCCTCACAAGAGTCACCTAAGAGAGGAATTCATTTTCAAAAATGAAATTCAGGCCCTGAATAAATGTCAAAATCTTGATTGGATCATCACTATGAATACTTCTACAGGATAAAAAGAAGGCTTTGAAAAGACCGGTATCGGTGATCGTATCGGCAGATACTGCTTTCTGTGATCGCCTCAAAAATCCTGATTGGAGCACCGCTAATAAACATAACAATACAAGCCTCTGTTACTATATTGCTTTAAATTGTATTGAAGCTTACCACGCATCATCTTGGAAATAAAGCTTCATGTCTTTACGTCTGAATGCAGTCAGCACTATTTCTCTGAATGATGTTATGATGCCTGCATTTTATGTCCTGACTGAGCAACATCTATTTCAGACTCTTCAAAACTATTATTCAAAACTGCTGCTTTATTATCACATTATCATAATATAATGCTTGATTGACTGATGATAAGAGTGTACATTCAGATAGTTAAGAAGCTGTGCTATTTAACAAAGATAAGCTGCTTTGGTGGAATCATATAGTAGCATAATCTACATTGTGTATATGTGTGTGTGTGTGTGTAAGCGTGTGTGTGTGTGTGTGTGTGAGTGTAAGCGTGCGTGTGTGTGTGTAAGCGTGCGTGCGTGTGTGTGTGTGTAAGTGTGTGTGTGTAAGCGTGCGTGTGTGTGTGTAAGCGTGCGTGCGTGTGTGTGTGTGTAAGTGTGTGTGTGTAAGCGTGCGTGTGTGTGTGTAAGCGTGCGTGCGTGTGTGTGTGTGTAAGTGTGTGTGTGTAAGCGTGCGTGTGTGTGTGTAAGCGTGTGTGTGTGTGTGTGTAAGCGTGTGTGTGTGTGTGTGTAAGCGTGTGTGTGTGTGAGTGTGTGTGTGTGTGTGTGTGAGTGTGTGTGTGTGTGTGTGTGTGTGTGTGCGTGTGTGTGTGTGTGTAAGCGTGTGTGTGTGTAAGCGTGTGTGTGTAAGCGTGCGTGTGTGTGTGTAAGCGTGCGTGCGTGTGTGTGTGTGTAAGTGTGTGTGTGTAAGCGTGCGTGTGTGTGTGTAAGCGTGTGTGTGTGTGTGTGTAAGCGTGTGTGTGTGTGTGTGTAAGCGTGTGTGTGTGTGTGTGTAAGCGTGTGTGTGTGTGTGTGTAAGCGTGTGTGTGTGTGTGTGTAAGCGTGTGTGTGTGTGTGTGTAAGCGTGTGTGTGTGTGTGTGTAAGCGTGTGTGTGTGTGTGTGTAAGCGTGTGTGTGTGTGTGTGTAAGCGTGTGTGTGTGTGTGTGTAAGCGTGTGTGTGTGTGTGTGTAAGCGTGTGTGTGTGTGTGTGTAAGCGTGTGTGTGTGTGTAAGTGTGTGTGAGTGTAAGTATGTGAGTGTGTGTGAGTGTAAGTATGTGAGTGTGTGTGAGTGTATAAGCGTGTGTGTGTGTGTAAGCGTGCGTGTGTGTGTAAGTGCAAGCGTGCGTGTGTAAGTGCGTGTGTGTGTGTGTAAGCGTGTGTGTGTGTGTGTAAGTGTGTGTGTGTGTGTGTAAGCGTGTGTGTGTGTGTGTAAGTGTGTGTGAGAAATAGTAAATCAGTCTGGCGAGTAAACTAAAACATGTACTAGCCGATGGCGATTATATTATCAAAGTGTGCGTAGAGGGCTGCATATACACCCGAATCAACTGATCAGCTCGTTAGTAAAGAGCTCACAGACAAGAGACATTATGTGCACATCTGGTGTCATTAAAGTCAACAGGGTTGCAAAAAGAAAATCGCAGGGTCCCTGAAAATAATCAGATTAAAGGAGAACTGAACGATCTCGGACGCATAGTTTAACCGGCCAACACGGAAGGGAAAAAACTCATGTTTTCATATATCAGCTTAATACTCATAACATTATTACACTGGCCTAGAAACCCCAGCCCAAGAGACATCCGTGCATGCGAGTATGCGTGTAACTACATCAGCCTGCGCAGTGCCAGCGTCTCACCAGCCGAATGAAGCCGAAGCCTCGGTCTCGGTTGATGAAAACCTCCTTCGCTTCGCCGTATTTGGAGAACATCTTCTTGAAATCGTCCTCCGTCATATCCGACGGGAGATTACCGACAAAGAGTCTGCACCGCTGCGTGAACGTTTTCTCCCCGGGTCTCCGGAAGTTCTTCAGGCTGACGGTCATCTCGTGCGGCTCGGTGTCGGCGGGGCTCCGGTCCAGCGGCGGCGGAGCGGCGGTGTCCGTGAGCTCGCGGGGGTCCGCTGGAGAGTGCACGTGCTGCGGCTGCGGAGATGCAGCGCTCGCGCTGCTGGGGTTACTCACCTGCTGGAGGTTACGGCTCGCCATCGCGCTGCAGCCTGAACTAGCACTAATAATACACCAGTTCTGCTTTTAGCTGGCTTCGATTGAAATCCCCGTAATTTACCAACAGAACGGCGTTATTTTCTATTATATTATATCGACTATTATTAAGACGCAACGACCCAAAAGAAAAAGCTTGCAGCTCTTCTTCTTCTTTCGAGGTTTTATTGGCGGTTGACAAACCAGCTTAGAGGTGCATTACCGCCACCTACTGGACTGGAGTGTGGATCCAGATTTATGCAATATATATAATGGGGAAAGGGCCATACATAAAAACACATATATACACATATACACACACACACACATATTATCTATATTCTATATTCTCTTACTTAATTCACATTCTTTTATAACCCTAATAATATCATCATATATCTTGTTAGCTGATCTCCCCAATAAACCTGACAGACAAGTCATGGTGTGTTTCTTTCCTCGGAGTGTGGACTAAAATGACTTCCTTTTGTTTTATATATCCTCTCCCATAAATTAGTTATTTTAAGATACTGAAAAATAAAACTATAATATTAATTTCCCAAATTATTTAGTAAAATATCTTATTTTTGCTCAATTTTGCGTTAGAATCCTTCTTTCAGTCTCGTCTTTCTGACAGTACAGCATAGCATCCACTGTTTCTTCTTGATGTTGTTTTTACGGCTTCTTTTGCTGCCTTATCTGCTATTTCATTTCCTTGGATACCAATATGTGCAGGTACCCATAAAATACCCATCATTTGAATTCTGTATAATGTCTGCTTTATTTCAATTAAAACAGACTGTATATTAAGCTAGCCAACGATGAACTTGATTTCTCAGCTCTTATCTCCTCTATCCACTGTATTGCTAATAATAGTGCAATCGTGTCCTCTGTATAAACAGGTAACTCATCACTGATCCTTTTCCTTGCTGATCAATCTAATTCTGGAACAGTAAACGCTACTCCTATCTTATTGCCTAAACTCTTTGATGCATCTGTGTAGATCTGAACATAGCTGCGGTGCTCATTAATATAGGTCTGCACATTACATGAATTACACGCCTTATGCTTATTTTTCTATTCTAACAATGTAAAATGTACTGTAGCGTCTGGAAGTAACCGAGGTTTTATTACAGGTAGCGGTACAGCTGGACTAACATTTAACTGATTAACTTTAAGTTCTGTTGCTTTCTGTATCACTTCCATACAAAGCTTTTAATTTTCCTCTCTTTTTCCCAACAGGGCTTTAAAGTATCTAGTGTTGGATGCTCTTGACTATGGCCTTGTAAATTAACCCAATAATTCTCTGATAACTGTATCCTTCTCATTTCTAATGATATTTCCCCCATTTCAACCTGTAGTGCTGTAATTGCTGTAGTTTTTATAGCTCCGGTACATAGTCTGATGCTGTATATTGTCTAACTTTCTAAGAGACGTTTCTGCGTCTGATCCGTACACCACACAACCGTAACCTAACACAGATCTAATCAACCCGCTGTATGTGGCCTTCAGTGCCATCCTACCGGCCCCACATTCACTGCCAACTAAACCTCATATTTATTACTTTCTTACATTTATCCAATCGCCCAGGCTATTCTTTCATCAAACCACAACCCTAAAAACTTCAAACGTTTCACTCTTTCCAGTTCTGGATTATAGCATTTTAGTTTGACCTCACCTCCATATTTTTTCTTTGTAAAAAACATTATCTTTGTCTTGTCAGCTGAGAATTTAAAACCCCATGTGACCATTCTTCAACTATTGCAATCCTGTAATTTTTTAACAGTAAAATCGATGTTCCTTCCCCTTTTCATCAGCAAAGAGCGATAACCCCAGTCCATTATCCAAATCCTCAAATGCAGCATTTATTAACTTTTCTGAATAACTGTTTCCTATTTTAACTTGTATTGCTCTCCCTAATAAAAAATCCTTGCTTCATCTATATATTTGACCTCTGATACCTAACTTCCATAATTTGATTAACAGCTCTTCTCTCCACATCATGTCGTACGCTTTCTCTGTCACAGAATACGGCCACTACTCTCTCTATTGATTTGGGCTTTTCTTATTTCGTGTTCTAAACACAGCTGGATCCATGGCATTTCTCCCGCTCCTAAAACCACTCTGAGATTTGGAGAAATATTTATTATTTTCCACATAATACATTAACCTTTCACGCCGGCATCTCTTCTTCTTCTTTGATGTTTTATGGTGGTTGGTATTCAGCTGTTTGGTGCATTACAGCCACCTTCTGTTCCGGAGTGTGGATCAAACAGCAGGTCCACAATCTATAGGATGAGTCGGGGGAAAGAGAGAAAAAAATTATGCCTTCATCATAGCATATAATAAAGACCAGTGTCTCTTTGAAGTCTAACAGTTCTCTGACCTCCTTCAGTCATATTCAGGGCTGTTTTTAAAGTGAGTTCCTGCACACCAATGCTTTCAGATTAATATCTCTCTGTGTCATGTATTTTCAACAATTTAGAATTACATGCTCCATTGATTCCTCTTCCTGACAATCCTCACACAAACCAGTCTGGTGTTTACCTACCATTGTTAATTTTTTATTTAGTGCACAATGCCTTGACCTTAATACAATTAAATACAATTTCCTCTCTCCTGTTTTCACTACTTTTTCCCCAGATTATGCATTTCACCTCTGCACTTACTGATTGCTATTTGCACGGTTTCCTTCTTTAACACCATCTCATCCACTTTCTCATGTCCCTTCACTCCTTTGTGCGTCGAGACCCATAGAAATGTAACTGGTCATGCCCCTGCAGCCAATACTATGCACACACTGCCATCTGCTGGGATGTTGTGCAAATGCTGCCTTATAGAAATCAACGGATGAAAAGGTATTTCTTCTTCTTTTTCCTGTACATTAGAATGTGTCCTGTTTTACTGTTTTTCTGAGCAAAAAATAATGGCTATCATACATTTTTACCATGACTTACAGAAGGCACCCACTAAAAATGTAATTCAGTGTAAGAATAGTGCATATAATCTTGTTAGGCAGATTTAGGACCAGAATCATTAGATGTCATTAAAAGACTATTATTTAAAAGACTATCACCTGTGTCTGGCCGAGTTCATTGTTTACCTGTGTATTAAATACACAAGCTTCCTTACTTCTTTGTCTGTCTTTATGTGTGAAGATGTGACCGTTTTCATTACCTGTTGGATTTCTGTTTTTATCCTTACCTGCCTTCCGTTATGATATTTTCTGTTTTTATTTAAATATAAATTTTTGGCAAATTGCAATATGGGTCACTTTGACCCCCAAAACAGTTGTACCCAGTTATTAAACACAACAGGATGGTTAAAGAACATTAAGCTCAGATTTGTGGTCAGTTTTATTGTAGTGAGCTTCAGTCTTATGAAAGTTAAGGCCCACTCTAGAACCTCAAATGGATGGCATTGTGTCTGTTTTACTCACCTCTTGCAAGCTGCAAATCATCATAATTTATAAATAAACCATTTATCTTTTCTTGAAATATATTTACATATTACAAAGTTTAGTGAGAGCATGCTTCAATTTTTTTAATAAAACCATTATTCCTTAAATTTAACCTTAATTTAAAAAAGAGAGTACAAATAATAGCCTACAAACCCACACTTTTCAGCCACAAATGCAACTTACAAACACAACAATGTCTCAAGAAAAGGTTCTCACACAAAGCATGCATACAAATAATATTAAGCATTTTATTTACCAAAATAAATAATTAAAAGGGACTAACCCTATCTGAAAATGTTTGGCCATAGTATAGTCCTTATTTTGTTTTTTAATGGCATGTTTATGTTCCTTCAAATTCTACAGCAGCAGAGGTGTAGATCAATTAAAATAGTTATTACATAGAGAAACATTTTAAACATCAGAACACCGGTTTTGTACTCTTTTTTTCTTAAGGTAGCTCCATCTAGTGGTGTCTTTCCTTTGACTAGCCCTGGATGTCAATCATCTTTGTTTATCATTCTCTCTGAGCAGATGAGTCTAATTAGCTGCTTTATGTGACAACCTTTTTCACGTTACGTTTGTAGGTTGCACTCTGAGTTGCGCATTTGTGGCCAAAACGCATAGGTTGGCAGCGCATTATTTGTACTCTCTCTCTTTTTTAAAATGTTCTATTATGAAATAGAGTATAAAGATATTTTTCAAAAAATGAATAAAGGCTGCTTCTTCTTTTCTTTTTTTGGGGGGATGTGTGCCTTGAATTAATTTTCAGATTCCCATATTATTTGGCTATTATAATTCACCTTAGATTTTGTTGTAATTTTCCAAAGTTCTTAACAATGGGAGGAGAGAAAAAAAATCAATAATCCATTCTAGTCTCAATCTATCAAAGTGGATTCTGTCTTGTCTGTTTTAAAGTGGAGTGTGTGGCACTTTAATGGGATCATGCAAGCTGTTTGAAATGTATGCCAATGATTCCTGTCATTTCATGGCAGCCAAGCCATGGTTCACTGAGCACCCACTTCTCCATGTCAGCTCCAAAGAAGACAAGCATTTAGTTGCAGTCTTTGAAGAGGTTGCAAAGACCAGAAATAATGTGACTGCTATCCTGTATCACCTATCTCCATTTCAAATCTTCCTCCAATGTACTGCATTGTCACTTATAGCGCAAGGCAAACAGATTTAGAGTCCTTGCCCCAATCTTGCATGCAGATATAATTCAAAGCTATCATGGCTGAGGGTAGGGAAATGAGGGTGTACTTAGCTCTTCAGTTCGTATTCTAAAACAGTAGATCGTCCACTGATCTTTAGGAAATTACATAAATTGTCTATTATCAGATTTCAGAAACACTGATGTTTTATATTTCATCTGCAAACCCCCTCCCACATTTTTTTTGTCTTGCTAAAAGCACAGAGACTAAAGGTGGTTGTCAATTCCGTTTTTATTTTTTTTACACATCATATCAAATTAATTAACTCAAGGTCTATATATTTTTATGTTGTTGTATTTCTGTTGGTGCTTCTCCCCTATTATTATGGCCTGTCTGGCAGTGTCTACAGCTGTGGTGACATAGCCACTGCCCCCTAGTTTTTCCTGCCTTGTAACACAGTAAAGTAAAATCGCTTGTCAGCCAGAGGTGTCTGCGAACTGACAAGATGCCCCAGTGACATTTGAGCTCCAAAGAGCAAGTGTCTTGCAACTGAGTGGTCAAATATCAAATAATAGGTCAAGCAGGGAAGAGCAGAGTGGGAGCCCTTAGAAAGGCAGGCTCTAGC